TCTGAAGCCGACTCGTTTCCTATGTCATTTACACTTTTTCTTTCAGAACTGAAATCGTTGGGATCGGATTTTGTTCTAACTTTCATCAAAAGTATGGGAGGGGAACGTCATCCCAAATGCCTGCCATTGGTTTTTCGAATGTTCGTCATTGTGGCTCAGTCATGTACTCTGGGTAAGATGATTCTTTTTATTACAGAGTAGGATGTAAGGGTTGTGTATGGAATTGGATATTTAATTTGAATTTAGAAAGTTAAGGCTTTATTCAAAATTTTTAGGCCAATAATGGTTGGTATGTTTAGAAGAGAGTTAGGGACTCCTTGCTTGCACCTAAATATGAATGTCTTTGCTCCAATTTTGCTATACAAAAGAATTCTTCTGTGGACCCATCTTTGAGACTCGAACATACAGAAGTGTGTGAACGATTTGCTGTTATCGGAAAGCTTTTGAAGAAAAGTGCAAAAAATTTATAATCAAGATTTTGAAGAAATATGAATGAGTCAACGAGGTGTACGAGTAAACTCAATAGCAATAGATTTAAATAAGTGAATATATTATGATCCATGTAGTAATTATTACATAGCTTACTGGTAATAAGCCGATTTGGGGTAAAATAGGACGGACTTCTAAAATGAATGCTTTTTATCTTAAATAAGCAAGAATTTGAAAGCGAAGGATATCCGAGTTTTTTAATCAGAACAAAATAGACGTATCGTGCTGGACCTTTTCTTAAAGCCATTTTTATATAATTTGTTTTCATTGAATATATGAAACAGCCCACTGTCTACATTCATACCCTCACAAATCTGTATTCTCAAATGGCTGCGATCACGCTTTTTCATTCTTTTGTTCAATGAAAAAGCGTGATCGCTGCCATCTTATTTAATCTTAAGATGTTTGATTCAAGCTTATAGTGGAAAAACATGTTTTGTCGGAGCCATTGTTCGTGAACTTTCAAGGTTTTATGCCTTTGATCGTTGTTAGTCGTAGACAAATCTTATCGCAATTACACATAAGCTTATAGATGGGAAAGTTAGGATGTTTTTTCATAGTAAGTACAGCGTTTTTGTTCAAATTCATACACCTTTTGTTGATGATCCCTTACAGAAGTTCCAAGGTTTGCACTCAATCAGGTGCACGGTTTGCTTTAGAATTTGCCAAATCTGGCATCATTTAATACTGTTTAGCGCTATA